GCAGCACAGCATCCCAGTACCAGCGCTCAGGCAAGCGCAAGCGCAAGGAGACGGCCTCAGAGGCCAAGGACACCCCGGACACCCCCAGGAGTCTGCTGGTGTGGCCACTGTGAGTGCTGGTTGTGCCTCTGCCCTCCTCTCCTCCTCGGACCGACATTCCTGGCTCTCCTCGCCTGCAGCCGCTAACTGGAACACCACACAGGTGCTTCTGCACACATGACCCCGCACCCCACTGGTTCCGCTCGTACTCGCCCACGTCATCCCCATTCGCCTCGCCAACTCGCACATAGTCTACTCTGCAGGGCTTGGGTCAGTGGTCTTCCAACCAGTGGAGAGGGAGGGGGTTGTTCCACCTGCGGTTGTACTTCATGATGTCTTGCATGTCCGGCCTGGCCAGCAATCTACTCTCTGTCTTCCACCTCACACGCCAGAAGGGCTACACTGTGGAGCTCCACGCGTCCTCTGCTCGCTTCTACCATGAGGGACAGCTTCGCTTTGAGGCCTCGGTCAATGAGCACAATGTGGGCTATCTCCTTGGTCGCACTCTCTCCCAGGCCAAGCAGGCACTCTCCGCTTCTCCACTTGCGAGGAGGACGAGTCCTGTGGCACCAGCGCTGCTCCCATGTCAACCTCGATGCCCTGCGCTCAGTGGTGAAGAGGGAGCTTGTCTCTCAGGCTTGTGGTGCGCTCCCAGCGCAAACCCACCCCATCTGCGAGCCTTGCCTTGCTGGGAAGCTCAACCGCCACTCCATCCCTCGCTTTGCGTCCAGGAGGCACACCCCACTTGCCCTGGTCCACACAGACCTCAAGGGACCGCTCCCGTGGCCACCCTGAAGGCCACCTCTACTGGATGACCTTTGCTGCGATGCAACCCGGTTCTGGGTGGTGGCCCAACTGAAGCCAAGAGCAATGTGTTCTCGCCTTCCAGGCATACAAGGCCTATGCGGAGAACACCCTCGGCCTCACCATCAAGGCCAGCGCGACGACAAGGGGGGGAGTACATGGGCAAGGAGTACACCGACTTCTGCGCCAGACACGGCATCCAGCGCCAGCACACCAAGCCGGACCCATTGCTGAGGGGCCACTGCTCTCCTTGCTCAGTCCAAGCTCCCTCCTTCGTTCTGGGGCCATGCCGTTGCCACCTTTGTCCACACTCCAACCGGATGCCCACCTCTGCTCAGTGGCGCCATTCCCTACACTGCATGGAAGGGGAGTGACCGGAAGCCAGATGTCTCATACTTCCGTGTCTTTGGCTGCCTGGCCTATGTCCTAGTGCGCAAGAAGAGCCGCAGGGCGCTCGAGCCCCACTCTCGCAAGTGCATCTTTGTTGGTACCCGAGGGACCAAGGCCTGGCGGTTCTGGGACCCTGCTGCAAGGAAGTTCATCATCTCCTCGCATGCATGTCTTTGATGAGCGGTGCTTCCCTGGAAACTCGCCCTCCATCAATGTCTTTGGGCTTCCCCTGGATGAGGTGGACATCCCTGGTGGTCCCAGCAGCCCCAGTGGCAGACCAGCCACCTGAGGACATCCCTGATGCGCCAGAGCTGCCAGATCAGGGGGGAGACAGTGATGGGATGATCCTGCACCTCCTGCGCCTCCAGCAGCGCGTCCTGCCCCTCCTGCTGCGCCTGCACGCGCTCCTACTCCTCCTGCACCTGCACCGTCGCCCCACAGCCTGCTCCTGCTCCTCTGCGCCCACCATCTCGCCCATCTGCTCACCAGCCAGCAGAGGGACACGGTGGCTTCAGGCCATACCCTGCCCTTGCTCGCAAGCAGCTCCCTGCGGCTCCACTCGCTTCCAAGGCTCTCTCAATGACCGGGAGCTCGAGCGCGCAACCTTGTGCCCCAGCGGTTCCGCATTGCCTCTCCATCTCCTGCTCCATCACCAGAGCCCTCGGACCGGGACCACACTCCCCAGCGCCACTCTCCCTCACCAGACCCCTCATTATGCTCCAGTTGAGCCAGAGCCGCTCCTGCCCCTGCACCAGCCTCTCCAGCACACCCAGCTCTCCCTGCCTCCTCAGACGATGAACTCACCTCCTAGCAGAGGGTCAGGAGGATGTCTTCGAGTGCTCACTGGAGGCCATGCTCTCTGCCATTGAGGAGTCTACTGTGCCCCACAGGACACCACCTCACCTAGACGAGCACTGGCCTTTGCCTTTGAGTCTGTGGCCGAGCATGCCTCAAAGTGAGCCAGGAGCACCTTGGGGAGCCCCGGTCAATCTCTGAGGTCATGGCCTTGCACCAGAGGAGCGCGACCACTGGCTGCGTGCAGCCCAGGAGGAGCTCCAGTCCCTGGTGGAGAACCGCACCTTTGAGCTTGTCCAGCTCCCTCCGGCCGCAAGGCCATTGGCTCCCGCTGGGTGTTCCGGTGAAGCGCAACGCGGATGGCTCCATTGAGCGGTACAAGGGGCGCTTGTGGCCAAGGGCTTCTCCCAGCCCCTGGCTTTGACTACAACGAGACCTTTGCCCCACACCCAAGTGGGCCTCCATCCGTGCCATCCTTGCCCTTGCGCCCTCGAGGACCTTGAGCTCGAGTCTGTGGACATCTCCTCTGCTTACCTGAATGGCGAGCTCAAGGAGGAGGTCTACATGAAGCAGCCAGAGGGTTTGAGGAGAAGACCCCAGACTGGGTGTGGCGCCTGCGCAAGTCCCTCTATGGCCTCAAGCAGGCCGGGCGCTGCTGGCACGAGAAGCTGCACGAGGTCCTCACCAAGCTTGGCTTTGACCGCCTCACCTGTGAGCACAGTGTCTGGGTCTACCTCCGTGATGGTGCTCCATCATTGTCCCTGTCTGTGTGGATGTTAGCTGCAGTGTGCCTTAGGGCAGTCACAATGGCCTGTGTTGAGCAATGTGAAGTCTAGAATTGAACAGAGGCTATCCTACTCACTGTGTCAAGAACTGTGAAGTCTAAGGACTCCAGTGCCTGGCACAGTGCCAGCTGTACAGCGGGTGCTCCCCAGAGTGCTAAACTACATGGCAAAACAACCCCAAAGCTCAGAATCAGCAAAGTGCGTACAGCGGATGATGTGGCAGTAATATCTCAACAACAGAGAATGTAAGTAGCGATAAAATGGAGTACTGTATGTGTGCTATGCAATGAATGTATGGTGCAAATTGTGGCTTGACACGGGCACAGGAACCTGTGCAATTGCGCAGAGTTCAACAAGACCATGCACTTTGCCATGCAGGAGGCCACCCGGGAGGTTGTTGGCTTGGCCTGCTGGGCAATTGACAAGGAGCAGGCACAGATATGGGTGGAGGTGGAGGCAGACTTCGGAGTACCCAAGGGTACTTTGGAGGAGGAGTTGGGTGAGGAGTTGGGTGAGGATTCAGGGGAAAAGCCCCAGGAGGAGTTGGAGGAGGAGCCGAAGGATGGATTGGGGGAGCAACCCCCAGAGGAATTGACTCTGAAGGGAAAGGAGCAGGCAGAGAGTGTGGAGATGGAGGTGGACCCACAGGGGGCTTGAAGGGGGTCTTGTCAGAGGTGGCTTCAGCAGGTCCCTTGGGGAACTCCCAGTTAGAGGTGTAGCAGTAGTATGCAGGGGTATAAACTTGTAATTAGCATGTACTTTTTGGACTGGAAAATCCTCATAGACAAATCACCCCGTGACCTCAAGACAACTGAGACAAGGGCCTGGGCTTGCAGGGTATGCAGAGTGGAAGTCTGCAACAAGTTCCTGTGCATGTCCAAGCTCCATTGCAAGGATCTAGGAGGTTTCCTTACTGGTGCCTTTATAACCCACCCAGTAAACTAAGTAGAGGAGTTGACAACTCCAGCACTGGCAGTCAATCTTGGAGTCAAGGATCTCAGAGATCTCATACTTTGGCTCACTGTCCACTAGTACTGGAGGTGGTGGTGTTTGGGCATGACTGGGGATGGTGTTCAGAGTTACCAGCTCTAGCTGAGAGACATGAAAGACCGGGTGTACCATGCACATAGAGTCAGGGAGTAATGTTCAGGCAAGTCTTACAAGGATGAATGAGGACAAAGGACAGCAAGCTTAAGCTCATCACTGCCTGTATATATATTAGCTACCTACTACTATATACAGCAGGCATTGGAAGTCTTCTACAAATGGCAAGGTGGGGATTCCCTTGCATCAGCCAAGAGCTGGGCAGGCAATTCCAAGGAGAAGGGGCGCCATCAATGACAATGGCGGCACAACAACGTGGTGGCAGGAGGAGAGTGTCAGCAGGGCTAAGCGCTGGTGGTGGTGTGAAGGTCCAGCGCATGTGTGCACACTGCCTGGCTTTGTGTGCACGATGCCCAGAGTTGCTCACCCAACAACACTTCCCCTTAACTGTGGCATCAGAGATGAAGGCCCATGAGTGCGAGAAGTGCCTGGAAGCCCGGTTGAGAGAGCACCTTCATGAGGGCATCGGCAATGTGGTCCTTGGAGGGCAGTGGATGACTGTCACCTCATTGGAGGTGAAGTGCTTGCACATGGATTGATAATGAATATCAATGTGTTTTGTACGGGTGTGCGAGACCTGAGCATAGGTGGACACAATTGCGCTCTGGTTGTCAATGTAGAGGATGGTCGGGTTGGTCAGTGAGAATCCAAGCTTGGTGAGGAGTGTGCACAGCCACATAACTCTGGAAGTCATGCTGCTTGCAGCCATATACTTAGCCTCCATTGACAACTTGGTGACAGTGCGCTGTTTGCACAAAGACCACAAGATCAGGGTGCCAGCGAGGAGGAAAACCTGGCTGGTAATGGAGCATCAATCATTAAGGTTGTTGCCCCAGTTGGGTTCAGAGTAGCCAATGGGCTCGGGGCCACAGTTGAATGTGCATTGCACCAGTAGACAATGCGAGGTTGCAGGTCCCTTTAAGGTAGCGCAGCACACGTTTTGTGGCAGTAATGTGCTCAGGCGTGGGGTTGCTCAAGTACTGGCTCAGCTGTTGGATGGCATGGGCAATGTTAGGTTTAAGTTCCAAGTGTGGCATACATAAGCAAGCCAACAATGGCTTGATATTGTTAACAGTGGAAAAGTGACCAGGCAGGCATTTGAAACCCAGGACCTTCTGGTTTGCACCCAGATGCTTTAACCACTGAGCTATCTGGCCTTGGTTCAGTGAGGAGACACCACAGTTGTGGTGTAGACTAGTGTAACTGTAGCCCCATGCCTATGGTATTCATGCGATACACTCAGCATGTCAAGGGGTCTTATGGCAGTTCAGGGACCAATTCCTATTAGGATGGGTAAGCATGGTTACCACACCCTAACAGATATCACATGCACAGGTCGGGGTTTTTGGGACTGTTGTGAGCATGAAGTTGAATGTGGGTGGTGAGCAGCATATCAACTGGTTTCACATTGCTCATGCCAAATTGGGCAAGGATGTGCTCAATGTACTTGTTAGGACCATGCTGTCCCGGAGTTACTCCAGAGGTCAGGGGTTGGCGGGGGTACGGAATGGAGTATGTTCAGAGGTGGGACTTGGCACAGGGTGAGAACTTTCGCGAAACTATTAGTAACGCACGGGTCCCTAGTTGTTGTCCTTAATTTGGACAGGAGGGGGATCGGACTTGACGGAGGTTGGGTCCGGAGTAGCGGAGGGGAACAGAGCTAGTGTCGGACTTGGGGGTTTCTCAGGAGGTAATGAGAGAGTGCGTGGGTTAATGAGATTTCTGAACTGAGTAACTACTACATCCCAGCTCAGTATTTATAGAGAGGTGCCCTATTGTTAGAGAGAACAATAAGGCCGAACGGAAAAGGCAGGAGTAGTGCAGAGTGCAAAGTACCATGGCCTCGAGGTTGGGGCTTATTGTTTGGTACAGTCAGCACTGCACATGCGAGAAGTGAGTCAGGTACGTATTTGAAATGAACCGGAGTACGGAATTCGGAGTAGACGAAAGTACAGAATTGAAGCGGAGTAGTAAGTACCAGGATCCGGACTTAGAGTTCAAGCACGGAGCGTAACAGTGCCCTCCCTCTAGGCCCAAACCCCTGAGGGCCACAATTAGGTAAGATGGGGAATGGAGGATGGAGGACGGAGGACGGAGGACGGAGGACGGAGGACGGAGGACGGAGGATGGAGGACGGAGGACAGAGAATGGAGAATGAAGAACGGGGGACGGAGGACGGAGCATACGGAAAATCAAGAAAGAAGTCTAGTCTAAGAAAGGAAAAAGATGTGATCAAGAAAACGGGGGTTTGAAATCAGTCAGAAACATGCTACGGCTGAAGGTGCCTATAAGTACCGTAACCAGAGTTGGAGTACATACCTCTGTACCCCAGACTTGCATTCCCTCCCCCCCCCCCCTCAACTCCTGATAACCCCGACATGTCTAACATTGCTGCTCAGCTCGCTGCTATGGAGGCAGAGATGACTGCCCTGCAGGAGTTGCAGCGGCAGGAGGAGGAGAAGGCGCGACGAGAAGCGGAGGAGAAGGAGTGTTGCAAGGCAGAGGAGCGGGAGCGCCGGGAGGCGGAGGAGCAGCAGCGCCAGGAGGCGGAGAGGATGGCGGCAGCGACGTCGCCCGCAAGCACCGGGCAGGCGTCGCAGGGCCAGAAGAGGGCGCGCGAGGAGCCGGAGGAGGAGCTCCTGACCCCAACGTAAGTACCGTCGGAGTTTGGAGTTGAAGTTACTGATTCCTTGTTCCAGGACTTCTTGCACCCGCTATACAGAGCGGGGACTGACTTGCCAGTTCCACCCCGGCAAGCACACTTCATCGTGCCGGGCCTGCCAAACAGCCAAGGCGTCGATGTGCGTGGGTGCAACGGGACTCCCGGCGAAGATGCAGGCATGCATCAACCACAAGCAAGCCCCAGGAACTCCGAGGCGCGCGCGCAAGACTGGGCACAAGTCCATGGCGAAAGTCACGGACTCAGACGAAGAAGAGGAAGTGGAGGAGACCCCATCCCCCAGCCCCAAGAAGAGTCGGGTGGAGGACAAGGGAAAGGGGCATGCGGAGGAGCCAACTGCCAGTAAGTACTGCGGACGCCCAGACTTCAGCGGACTAACACTTTCACAGGGCCTTCAACAGTCGTTGTCGACAATGGCCTGGAGGGCCCCTTGGGCCAGGGGCTCATCATGGCCCTGGTCCCTGAGGTCCGGGGACTCCGCCGGGAGTTGGCAGAGTTGAAGGCGCAGGTGGTGGAGGTGGCCGGAGTCCGGCGGGGACTCATCGCAATGGAGGTTCGCAAAATCAAGGCACGGTTCGCCGTGGAGGTTACCCTCCAGCTGCGGCGGGAGGTGAAGTCTGTGGTAGAACATACCACGCGTGTTGCCGCGTGGGAGGCCGCCCTGGAGGTGATGGACACGGCCCAGGAGGAGATTGAGCAGGAGTGGGCGCGGACCTGGGCGATGCTGGAGGAGATCTACCGGGTGCCCGAGGGTACTCCGGTGGACAGGCCGGAGGCGGAGTTGGCAGAAGGTGGAGGCGAGGGTGAAGGTGAGGATGAAGGTGAGGAAATGGAGGTTGACCCCACAGCAGGGCCTGAGGAGAATTTGGCGGGGGTGATGGAGGCGGGCCCCTCAGGGGATGTCCCGCCGGACATGTAATGGTAGTACGCGGAAGTTCTGATTGTAACCCTAGTATAGTCTTGAATGCAAAAAACCCTCTAGACAAACACTGAGTGACTTCAAGGCAACCCGGACAAAGGCCTGGGCTTGGTGGGGTATGCGAAATGGAAGTCCACAACAAGCTCTTGTGCATGTCCGAGCTCCGTTGCCAGGATCCAGGAAGTTTCCTCATCAGTCCCTTCATAGCCAGCCCAGTGAACCAAGTAGAGGAGTTGACAACTCTGGCACCGTCGGTCAATCTTGGAGTTGAGAATCTCGGAGATCTCATACTTCGGTTCACCGTCTACTAGTACCGGAGGTGGCGGTGTTTGGGCACGACCGGGGATGGTGTTTGGAGTTGCCGGCTCTAGTTGGGACACATAGAAAATGGGGTGTACAGCGTGCATGGAGTTGGGAAGATGGAGGGTAAAGGAATGCGAGCCGACCTGGGCAATGATAGTGAATGGTCCAAGGAACTTTTCAGAAAGCTTCTTGGAGGGACAGGTGGTGCGGATGTATTGAGCCCGAACATAGACCTGGTCTCCGACCTTGAAGTTCGGCACTGGTAGTCGGTGCTTGTCAGCTTGGACTTGGTACCGGGCTTGGGCTTCTGCAATCTACTGCCGGAGTGCAGTGTGTAGCTCGTTGAGGTTGATGGCAAAGTCTCAGGCACGAGCAGATGTGAGGTCCTGTTCTGGGTGTACAGAGAATGCAGGGTTGTAGCCCTTGTTGGCAAAGAAGGGGGAGATGCTGGTGGTTGCAGATGGGGCATTGTTGTATGTGAACTCCACTAGCGGTAGAAGCTGTTAGGGTGTGGTAACCATGCTTACCCATCCTGATAAAAATTGGTCCCTGAACTGCCATAAGACCCCTTGACATGCCAAGTGTATAGCATGAATACCATAGGCATGGGGCTACAGTTACACTAGTTTACACCACAACTGTGGTGTCTCCTTACTGGACCAAGGCCAGATAGCTCAGTGGTTAGAGTGTCTGGGTGCAAACAAGAAGGTTCTGGGTTCAAATCCCTGCCTGGTCACTTTTCCACTATTAACAGAAGCTGCAACCAGTTATTCTGCTAATAGTTCAACTAGATGCAGAGGTACTGCTCTAAGGTTTGGTTGACCCATTCAGTTTGGCTGTCACCTTTGGGATGGTATCCGGAGGTGAAGTGGAGGTGCATGTCCAGAGCCTTGCCGAGGGAGCGGAAGAAGTGAGAGACGAACTCCAAACCCCGGTTGGAGGTGACGTGGGAAGGTACGCCATGCTTGGAGAAGACATGGAGCACGAACAAGTCCGCTAACTCCGAGGCGGTGAGGGTGTCGTAAGTAGGGATGAAGATACCCTGCTTGGTGAGGTGGTCCACCACCACCAGGATTGCGGTGTAGCCACCGGAGTTTGGGAATTGTTCGATGAGGTCCATGGAGATGGAGTTCCACGGTCGTTCGGGAATCGGTAGCTGCTTTAGAGTACCATAGGGAAGGTGCCATGGTGTTTTGGAATGAGCGCAGGTCGTACAGGACTTGCAGTAGTCTCGGACGAAGAGTCGAAGTCCGGGCCAGGTGTAGTCCCGGAGAACCAGGGCCTGAGTCTTGTTCTGGCCCCAATGACCCGCTGTTGGGTGATTGTGACAGGCTCGGAGAATGCATAGGCGGAGGTCATCGGAGTTTGGGACATAGATGCAACCTGAGAGCTGGAGGACACCGTCCTCATCAACTGACCACCGGGGGTTACCTTCGCGTGCGAGCTTGATAGCAGTGGATAGTTTGGCATCAGGAGTGTGGGAGTTTTGGGCGGACTTGATGTCAGCCCGGAGTTGGTCGGTGTCAAGGGTGAAGGATGCACGGAGTATGGGAAGTCGGAGGTAGGTGGCGCGGAGGGAGGATGCGAGTTGTTCCTGTGTAAACACCGGTTGGTAGTTATGCGGGTTGACGACGGAGTAGTCACTTCCCCCCTCTTTTGGGTAGACGTCCCAACGGCATGTCAGTGCATTGGGTTTGGCTCCCAGTTTTCCCGGCCAGAAGCAGACTACAAGGTTGAACTGTGAGAGGAACTCCGACCACTGGGCTTGCCAGCAGGTAAGAAGTTTCATGGTGGAGAAATACTTAAGGTTCTTGTGGTCCATGACGATGTCAATCAGAGTTGCCGAACCTTTGAGGTAGTGCCACCAGGTCTTGAAACATTTGAAGATGGCAAGGAGTTCCTTGTCATGCATGTCGTAGTTGAGTTCCGCGCCAGTCAGGGTGCGGGAGTGGAAGGCAATGGGGTGAAGTTCACTGGACTCAGTGGTAAGGGATAAGATGTCAGCGATGGTGTAGTCCAAGGCATCAGTTTCGATGGTGAGAGGCTGGTCCGGAATCCAGTGGTGAAGTACCGGAGCAGTGGTGAAAGCCTCCTTAAGAGCATTGAAGGCCCGTTGACAGTCCTCGGAGAAGTTCCAGGGCACAGCCTTGCAGGTGAGATGGGTGAGCAGTAGTACGATCTTGGAGTAGTTCGGTATGAACCAGCGGTAGAAATTGGCAAAGCCTAGGAACAACTGTATGTCCTGGACCTTGCGTGGTTCAGGCCAGTCCAAAATTGCCTTAACTTTCTCCGTAGACATGGTGAGCCCTGATGGTGATAGGATATATCTGAGGTATTCGACGGAGTCAGTGTGGAACTCGCACTTGTCCATGCAAGCATAGAGCCGGTGCTTGCACAGACGTCGGAGTACCTCCCTGACATGTTCGCGGTGCTTCTTGGGGTATTGGAGTAGATGAGGATATTGTCAAGGTAGACGATGACACACATGTCAAGCATGTCCGTGAAGATGTCATTGATGAACCACTGGAAGGCGGTGGGGGCATTAGAGAGGCCGAATGGCATGACAAGCCACTTGAAAGATCCGTAACAGGTCCTGAAGGCGGTCTTCCATTTGTCACCGGGGGCTATTCGGACTAGGTTGTACACATGCCGGAGGTTGATCTTGGTGTAGATACGGGCCTTGCGGGGGGTGTCCAACAGGTTCGAGATGAGGGGAAGAGAATAGTGGTTCTTCCGGGTGATCTTATTCAAACCCCGGTAGTCCACACAGAGGCGCAAGGTGCTGTCCTTCTTCTTGACGAAGAGGACAGGAGCACCACAGGGGGAGTTGGATGGACGAATGAACCCCGAACGGAGGTTCTCGTTGATGTACTCCCGGAGGGTGTCAAGCTCCAGCTTGGAGAAGGAGTAGATAGGTCCGAGGGGTGGAGTAGCGCCTTCTTCGAGCTCAATCTTGAGATCGTAGGGATGGTGCTCTGGAAGGATGTCGGCCTTGGATTTGCTGAAGACGTCCGTGAATTCCTGGTACTCCTCCGGAATCCCGGTGAGGTCTAGTGGAGAGGACTTGATGGACAAACTCCGAGCATAGGTGAGGTCTGACGCGTCCAGATTCAGAGTATAGCTCTCGGAGCCCGGGAGTCTGCAGGCTCTAGCAAAGGCCAAAGCGTTCACCAGTGAGACCCTAGGAGGGGAGCGAAAAGAAGTCAAGGGTTCTGGGGGTAGCTCAGTGGGCACTGGCGGTAGTTCCGGAGTTGGGTTGGATATGGGACGAGGCGGAGGTGCGGAACAGAATTGGATGCTGCACTTCTTCCAGACAATCAATGGATTGTATGCGGTGAGCCAGCTGTATCCCAGTATGGCAGATACGGACTTGTCGAGTGGGGTGACAAAGAATTCTATGTCGAGAACTTCTCCTAATGGAAAGTGTATTGCAAGGGTAGTCGACTGTGTAATCAACTGGTTAGAAGTACCGTTGAACAACTGCAAACGAATTGGGGTTATGGGGGTACACAGGAGTTGGTGTTTTTCTGCAAATTGGGAGTCAATAAAGCAGTGGGAGGAACCGGAGTCTATGAGGGCGCAAAACGGGGTTGGGATGGATTCAGAGTAGAGGTTGAGGAGGAGTGCATGGGGGTCAGAAAGAGTGGATGCATTGAGCCAAAAGATCTCCATACCGGAGGAGTCAATGCAGTCCTCGAGAGGTACGGAGTTTAGAGAACCACGAACTAGTTTTTTGGCTCCTTCAGAGCTGCAGCTGGAGCTGCCACTGTAGGTGCCGGAGCTGGGGCTGCTTAGGCTGCCCGACCCTTGGCTGCAGAGGAGGTCTTCTTCGTGCAGGCACTAGCTGTGTGACCAGCCCCGCCGCAGAAGAGGCAGAGATTATTCGCGAAGCGCCGCTGGTGTTCCTCTGGGGTTAGCTTCCCATCCTTGCCAAGCTTGTCCGCGTATGCCTTCGCGGGGGTCTTTGAGGCCTTCGGAGTAGACCCGGAGTTGGGCTTGGACGGCGTGGCAGCAGAGGACTGTCCTGCGGAGTTACCGCCGGACTTGTTGGTCGCTGGCTTGGTGTCGGGGGTCGACTTCTGGCCGGACTTGAAGAAGCCGGAGTCACGCGAGACCTCAGCCTTCCGCTCCCAGTAGCAGTTGTCGATGGACTGCGCAAGGTCCTGGAGTGCGACCAGGTTGTCGGGTCTACCGACCTCGGAGATGCAGTCCTTGAGACGGTTGGGAAGACCATCATAGAACTGATACAGGAGAGGAGTGTTGCCCCACCGGACCTTAGTAGCAAGGTGGGTGAACTGGGTGATGTACTTAGCGATGCGTTGGTTGTCACCCATCCGGAGGTTCATTAACTCGTGCTCCACTGCTCCGGAGGCAGTGTACGGACCGAAGTTGGTCCGGAGTTCCTCCTGGAAGTGCTTGTAGGAGACCATGAACAGTGGAGGTAGGGCAAATTTGCCCTTGAAGAGGTAAGGCTCGAACCACTGGAGAGCAGTGCCCTTCAGGAAAGATATGGCGTAGGTCACCTTCTTTTTGTCGGTGTTGAAGGTCCAGGGATGGGCCTTGAAAACCAGCTCCAACTGCGTGAAGAAGAACTGGAGCTTGTTGGGGTCGGACCCATCGAACTGGTCTGGCTCTCAGACATTGTGCTGCTCACTGGTTAGGGGTTGAACTGGTGGTTGTGGCGGAGGACGGTTGAGCGTGCGAGTGATCATGGAGATAGCGTTGGTGAGCTGCATGTTAGGACGCGTGCCGTGGGCAGACCGATGGGTAAGGCGGGGTTCCGAGGAATGACCGGCGGAGTTCCGGCCACGGCACGGGGATGGTGGGGACTTGGCGAAACTATTGGTAACACCCTGAGCGATCTCGTCGGGTGTCCCCTACTTACTAGAGTCACCGACGCGAGACGGAAGACCGAGGTGTCCGACGGATGTCCGAGGCGGGAGTCCGAGGAATGAAGGTGTATTGCGAGTAAGTACCGAAGAGTGTAGAGTAACGAGCAGTGAGTAAGAACAAGTATCCGAACTGAGGCAAGGGCTACTACCAGCGCGCCTTATATACTAAGCGAGCCTAACAAATAAGGAAGGGGCTTGCGTCACTTGACATCGGAACTCCGGTGGGTCCGAGGTCCCTTGACGCAAGCCGAGAGGATAGAACTTCTACTAGGAACTCTATGACGCCAGCGCAAGGAAAGGTCGAGAACGTACTAAACATGGAAAGTCCGGAAGTCCTAACGGAACTCCTTCGGGGTCGCTTCGGAGTTCCGGCATGGGTCGTGACAGTGCCCCCCTCCTAGGCCCGAGCCCCCGAGGGCCGTAGCGTGACCGCGGTAATGGCACCGAGTGCCTAATGGAGACAGCGTGGATCGCCCGTTGATGAAACAGAGGACAGGGCGGAGCGCCCGCGAAGCTCGTCTGGGTTGGCGGCTATAAGAGCCCTGCTTGAGGCCAGCCCAAGTCCCAACCCCAAACCCAACCTCAACCACTTTCCCTCAGCCAAGCCCTAGTCCCCCCCCCCAGCAATATGTCCGGTCTACCCCCTCCGCGGACCCTCAAGGAGCGCCTGGCGGCGGCCGAGGCGGAGGCGGCGCGGTTGCGCGCGGAGGCCGAGCGCGAGCAGCAGGAGGAGGAGGAGCGAGAGCGGAGGGCAGCGGAGGCCGCAGCAGCGGAGGCGGCTAAGGCAGCGGAGGCGGCGAAGGCAGCGGAGGCGGCGAAGGCGGCGGAGGCGGCGAAGGCGGCG